TTTTCATTTTCACTGAACCTCAGTTTCCGTACCTGTGAAGTGGGGGTACTCATACTTGTTGCTGTTGTTGTTGCTGAGTCATTCTGAGTCGTGTCTAATTCTTTGTGACTCCATTTGGGGTTTTCTTGGTGGAGATACTGAAGTGGTTTGCCATTTCCCTCTCCAGCTCATTTTACAGATGGTGAAACTGAGGTAAACAGTAAACTGAGGGTTAAGTGACCTGCCTAGGGTCACACAGCTAGTAAGTGTCTGAAGCTGGATTTGAACTCAAATGGAGTAGTCTTCCTGACTCCAGGCATGGCACTCTATCCACTCCATCATCTAGCTGCCCTACTAATACTTACACTATTTCAGAATTACTGTAGAAAGTGCTTTGTAAACCTTAAAGCAATTATATAAATATGTAATATGGCATTGATAAATGTATACACATATGTTTATTTGTAATATAGTACAGAAATGATCTGGGATACTTAGGTCATTTTGTGGAGACAGGGATACAGTAAAGCATATGGGTTTTGTGACAATTCTGTTGGCTTTGCAAAGAAATTTTTGCTTGTTCTTTGATTTTTAGCTATATCCTGAATGGCAAATGCAGCTAGAAATGTGATCTCCAATGAAGTGTAATGTTATTGTATGTGTCTGTACATGCATACATGACCATCTTTAGAAACATTTGTGAAACCATGGGAAAAATGGATGTAGTTTGCTGTCAAATGTATCTTATAGAAAAGTCACTGATTTTAGAGACACAATGAATGGGTGGGTTCACACCCTAGTTCAACCACTAATTGCTCAGCCTAGGGCAAATCACTTTACCACTATGGACCTCACTTTCCTCGTTTGGAAAAGAGAAAATAAAATTTGCCTTATCTTATCCTTTTGCTGCATACATTTGCTGGGAGGAAATCACTTTGTAAATCTTAAAACACTACAGAAATGCGAGCTATTATAACCATAGTATAACAAAACTAGCCACTGGCAGGTTTCTGGGAAGGCTATGGGTGAACTTTAGTGAACAAAGGGGCAGTTTTTCATCTTCATTTTTATATTGTAGCTATGTTCCAGCTAAATGATTTCTCAAGCCATCATGTAGATCTTAAAGCAGCCAACCTCTTATTTTCTCTGGTCTTACTATTCCCTTGCCTCAGGCCACTGACAATAGCTGCTTTGCACTTGCTTAGTCAGGGGCCTCCTTCAAATTGCTTCTCCTAAGTTCTAGCTTAGAGCATAGCAGAAGAGATCACCTGATAGACACAGATTTTAAACGTGCAGTATTTACTGATAAACCACATGTGCCCTTGTAGATCGCACTTCAATTTTTTATCTCCAAATGTGTTTTATTGCCTCGTGAACCTGAGTGGTTTGGGGCATGAGGTATTTCTTATGTATGATTATCTTTTTTATTAAATTATCAGACAGAGTTATTCCTAGCAAGAAAGCACATACACATGCATACACACACCCAAATACATGCATACACATATATACCTATCCCATATGATTATGTCAATAGGACATTTTATTTCTCAGAATTTCTTTTCAGAAGCATACAGTAGAAAGAGCACTAGCCCTGGAATTAGAGGATCACTGTTCAAATCCTGCCTTGACATTACTCATGTGACTTTAGGCAAATGACTTAACCTTCCTCCAGTTCCTCTTCTGTAAAATAAGAGAGTGATATCTGATGGCTATTGAGGTCCCTTCATGCTCTATAATCCTGGAACGAAGGAATGAAAGAAGGAAGGAAGAAGAAAGGAAGGGAGAAAAGAAGAAAGGAAGGAAAGAAGGGAGGGAGGAAGAAAAGAAAGAAGGGAGAGAGGCAGGAAGGATGGATGAAAGAAGGAAAGAAGAGGAGGGAGGGAGGAAGGAACTAAAGAAGGAAGAAAGGAATGGAAGGAGAGAATGAGGGAGAGAGGAAAAAAAAGACAAAAAGGAGGGAGAGAGAAAGGAAGGGACAGAGGGAGGAGAAAAGAAGGGAGGGAGGAAGGAAGGAAAGAAGGAAAGGGAAGAGGAAGGAAGGGGAAGAGGTAGGGGGAAGGGAAGAAAGAAGGGAGGAAAGAAGGGAGGGAGAAGGAAAGGAGGGAGGAAGGAAGAAGAGAAGAGAGGGACGAAGGAATGAAATAAGGAAGGAAAGGGGAAGGGAGAAAGGAAAGAAGAAAGAAAGAAGGAGGGAGGGAGGAAGGAAATAAGCATTTATTAAGTGCCTACTATGTGTCAGCTACTGTGCTAAGCACTTTACATGTATGATCTCATTTGATCTTTACAACAACCTTGGGTTGTAGGTGCTATTATTATCTCAATTTTACAATTCAGGAAACTGAGGCAGACAAAGGTTAAATGCCTTGCCCAGTATCACACAGCTAGTAAGGGTCTAAGGCCAGATTTGAACTTGGCTCTTCTTGACTCCAGGCCCAGTGCTCTATGTACTATGGCATCATCTAATTGCCTCTACAACTTCAAGCAATTCATTTGAAGTCTCTGGACCTCAATGTCCTCATTTGTAAATGAGGGGGTTGGACTAAATGACCTCTAATTTCCCTTTCTAGCCCTAAATCTCTGCTTCTGAGATAATATTCTGAATCCCTGCTAGAATTTCTGCAAACACTTGCTAGAAAAAGAGCAGATGGCTCCTAATATGTAACCAGGTGATGCAACAGAAGGACAGGGTGGACAAATGCTACCAGACAGAAGGAATGGGACACAGAATGAGGAAGGCATGGATAGGATAATGGATAATTCCAATGGAATGAAGATAAGGAATCTGGGGTGGGTCACAGAGAGAGGCACTCTGCAAGGCTGAGCACTGCTCATGGATTTTATCATTATGCCAGGCATCATTATGTTAGTTATCATTATGTTGAGATGTATGACAAGGAAGTATCATAGACAGATACCTCCCAAGGACAATGCACCAGGAGAGCAGATAGAATTGGACAGTGTTGCTATTAATGACCACAACTATCTCCTTGAAATAAAGGCCCATATTTTTAACACCAATATTCTTATAGTCATATTACATGGATGGAAGTCATGGGATATCCCAGTCTCCAAAGATATAAAATTGCAGGTGCCCTGAAGTGCAAAGGAGAAATGCATGGTAGGTGTGAGTAGGCTGTCACATATTCCTAAAGAAGAACAGGACAGGAGAGGTAGTATAAACAACAACAACAACATGTATATAGTGCTTAGTATGTACCAGGCATTGTGCTAAGTGCTTTACAATTTTATAGTTCTCACAACAATCCTGGGAGTTAGATACTATTATTATCCCCATTCTATAGTTGAGGAAATTGAGGCAAACAGAATTTACATGACTTGTCCAGGTTGACACAGCTAGTAAGTTTCTAAGGTTGAATTTGAACTCTCTTTCTCATTCTAGGCCCAGAGCTCTAACCACTGTAAATGGATGAATGAAAGATGCATCATTGGAAAACACTGAGATCATGCCACATAGCATGAGCTAGTGATGGAAAGCCATGTCTTCCATGAATACACATTCAATGTCAAGAAATCTGGAAGAAGGTCCTCAGAACTTTGAATGGGCCCCTATGGACAATTATCAGGAAGATATACATGGATAGCTATACATATTGTATTTCTTCCTTCAGATTACTTTCTTCTACTCTACATCTATCTTGTATATATCTACTTATGCACACCCTCTCCTCCCCATTAGGATGAACATTTCTTACTATTGTGCTACAAGAAATGATGAGCTAAAGGACTTCAGAAAAACCTGGAAAAACCTATATGAACTGATGCTGAGTGAAATGAGCAGAACAGGAGAACATTGTACACAGTAGTAGTCACATTGTGCGATGACTTACTTTGATAGACTTAATTCTTCTCAGCAATGCAGGGATCTAAGACAACTCTAAGAGACTCATGATGGAAAATGCTATCCACATCCAGAAAAAGAACCATGGAGTCTGAATGCAGATGGAAGCATGCTATTTGCTCTCCTTTTCTTTTGTTGTTCTGTTTTATTTCTTATTTCTCATGGTTCCTCTAATTGGTTCTAATTCTTCTATACATCATGACTCGTGAAAATATGCTTAATATGAATGTATAAGTAGCACTTATATCAGATTACATACCATCTTGGGGAGGGGTAGAAAATTTAAAACTCAAAATCTTATGGAAGTGAATGTTGAAGACTAAAAACATATAAATTATTATTTAAAAAATGACCATTCCTTGAGGGCAGGGATTGTTTTTTGTCTTTCTTTGTGTCCTGAATCACTTGGTACATTGCCTTGCACACAGTAAGTGCCTAATAAGTAACTGATAACTGACTCACTATCTAAGAGCAAATACCTACAGCACATTAATAAGATCACAGCTCCATCATACTACTACTATAATTGGGTACTTAAAAATATAGTTAATCATTGGGAATCCTCTAGGATTTGTTGGAATGTGTAATTGACACAAACTGAATGAGAGACTATAAGCTCCATGAGGGCAGGAATTATGTTTTATCATAGTTTAGATTCCAAACTATGTATTTACCCTAAAGCCTTAGTACAAAACTCTGTACATGATAGATATTTAATAAATATCTGTTGAACTGAAACCTCTCTCTCTTTGTGTGTGTGTGTGTGTGTGCGTGCATGTGTGTATGTGTGTGTGTGTGTGTATGTGTATGAAGGTGTGTATTTCTTATAAATATTTTTTAGTAGATAGAGATACAGCCTGGGAATCAGGAGGATTCAAGTCCAACTTCTAACACAAAGTGTCTGAAGAAAGAAAATTACAAGTGATTTTGTCTTTACTCAACCTCCATGAATTCTGATGTTCAGGTCTAATAATTGGTCAAAGGCCATTTTGAGGAATCAATACTATACTTTAAAATTTATGTAAATCTACATTGTTCAAAAAAAATTAGTCAAGGGTAGAGGACTCCTGAACTATCAAGTTATGAGGCAGCATTTTTGGTTATATGTTATGGGATAGTTTTGATGGAGAATGTTTTATGTGAACTTAAAAACAATTACCTTTAGGACCTTTGAAAAGTTTAATTTCTACAACTGTCTCCAAAATAGGCCGCCTTCGACGGACATACAGTCGGACTATCGAACCCGCCTCCTTTAGTGCCTCCACTGCTTTACTATGGGAGACTTCTGAGACATCCACCTCATTCACCCGCAAGATACAGTCATTGACCCTGTAAGGAAAGAAGAGAACCCAGGATTAAGAGCAGGTCTTTGCTTCCTGAAAATCAGACATAAAACAAGTCAAATGTTATTTAAAGGGAAAAAGTTATCAAACAATAATGAGGAAATGCTTGCTATGGTAGATATCCAAATACTGTAGATCCATGGAGGGGGAAGCAATAAAGTACAAAATGTCATTGATCCACATCTTAGTACCAACTTAGTTGAGCTCAACTTCAATCACATGAAACCTTGGAAAAATAATTGACATAATCAGCTCTAAAAGTAGACCTGGTAAGAATCAGAGAGTTAATTCCCAGGCATTGATAGTTATGGTTCTCTATTTTTAAGCCTTCAAGAAATAGCAAGATGCATAGTGAGTGTAAGAAGGCTGTATGTATACAATCACCTGAACACAAGAAATAGTGTAAAAGAAACTAGAAAGGACATAGGAAAAATAACATGGAATATCAGGGGTTCTTGACCTTTATTATGTTGTGGACCTATTGGACAGTCTGATGAAACCTATGGATCCCTTTTCAAAATAATGTTTTAAAATGAATAAAACACATAGGATTACAAAGCAAATAAATTATGTTGAAATATAATTACCAAGATAAAAAAAAGCAAACGTATGGGATCCAGATTAAGAATTCCTGGTATAGCTAGAAAGAACAATGAATTTAGAATCAGAAGCCTTTAGTTTGAAACTTGCCTCAGTCTCTTTTTAACTGTGTGACTTTGGGCAAGTCACATAACCTCAATAGGCCTTAATTTCATCTTCTGTAAAACAAGAATGATGGATCAGGGATAGGGAACCTGCGGCTTTGAGACTATGTGTGGTCCTCTAGGTCCTCAAGTGTGGCCCTGTGAAGTTCAGATTCAGTTAAAGGGCTGCACTTGAGGACTTAGAGGATCACATGGTTTTGAGGCCACAGAATCTCCACCCCTGGACTTGATGGTATCTATAATCCTTTATTGCTTTGGTCTATGATGCTCTGATCCCATGTGGGCCTGAAAAAGAGTGGGCCAGCTCATCTAGCAAGAGTGACAGAGAACAGATGCACAATTTGGATGACACACAGGCATCCCTGAAATATGGGGAAAAAAAGAAGGTCCCCAGCAAATGAGGTGCTTCCTTTGTAGAGAAAGTTTGGAAAAACAAGAAGCTAGGTTTCCATAAGCACTGGTGGATAGAGATCCCTGGATCTCTGGGAGTATTTTAAACTTCTCATTTCAGGGTGGTTTTAACTGAAGTACAGCTCACTAAGTACATCTTCCCTGAAGCCATCCTTTTGTTTTGATTATGCTTTTCAAGAAAGGAAAAGCAATGGAAAACACAAACCCTCTTAGATTGCTTGAACTTTATTGGTTCTCTGGGAAGCTTTCCCTGAGTGATACTGCACTTTTTATCTCACTACCTCACAGATATCTCTATATTTAGAATGATAGCTACATATAAAGAAAAACAGTCATGTCCCAATTTACAAATGATGTAGGCTTATAAATAGCCCTGCTGCCCCTCTCTTCTGCCCCTGAGTCCCCTTTTTCTGGAGGAGGCCTTAATTAAAAGAATATAGCAACTTTAAAGGATCCATGGTTTCATTATTAAGTCATTTAGGGGCAGATAGATGGCACAATGAATAGAGTACTGGGTCTGAGGTCAGGAAGACCTGAGTCCAAATCTGGCCTCAGACACTTACTAGCTGTGTGACCCTAAGCAAGTCACTTAAAACCCTCTTTGCCTCAGTTTCCTCATCTGTAAAATGAGCTAGAGAAGGAAATGGCAAACCACTCCAGTATCTTTGCCAAGAAAATCCCAAATGGGGTCATGAAGAGTTGGACATGGCTAAAAAAACGACTATATAACAACAACAACAAAAATTGCTTCAGAAGCATAGGAGAGAAAGAACTTGGAAAATTAGTGAAGGATTTGAGTATATGACCACCTTAGGCAGGCTCTCACATAGGGTTATTCTTCCTATATAATTGCCATATCTCAACATCTTTTCTTATGCTGCCTGAATCTTTCATTTCATTTTATTACTAGAATCTAAAATGCCAAATGAAAAATGAATTTGATTAATAAGTAACCTTTTTAAAAATTCCAAATACTCCTACCAGGGTTGAGAGATAGCTATTCATGTGGCAGTCTGCTTTCCTCCAAACACCTAGTTGAAAAGAGAGGCATTAAGCAAATTAGAATGTTGATGGGGAGGGGGAGAGGAAAAGGAAAACATTAATCCTCTTTTTCCTTTCCCATGATTACCAACTAAGTTCAAACCTATAATAAATCCTATATGGAACATTATAATAGCTTTCAGTAATTAGGATTCTTTCAATAGTCTTTCTGATAGAAATAGGAATAGGAACTAGACATATGATTTTATTGGTATAGGGAACTCCCAGATGAGAAAATTTCCACTACCAAGGTAGGTGGCCACCTTCTCTGAAGTTTTTAGTCTCAGAGAGTTGTCACATACATTGCCCAGAGATCCCATATGGTCCATAACATTCCTGCATGCAGATCAAACCAATTAAGGAAATATTTAACAAAAGAGATAAAATACAATAAAACATAATGTCAATGTGTGTTTTTCTAAGTCAATATGTGCAGATCCTTATGCATGGTTTAGAGGGCCCCATTTCTATTTGAGTCTGACACCACTGGCCTAGAACATTAAGTAGTTAAATAACTTAACTTTCATCACCTATTGCATCATACAGTTGGTTTATATCAAATGGGGGACATGAAGTCAGGTCTTTCTGGCTCCAGGACCAGATCAATAACCATTATGAGTGCTGTCTTTCATCGTATGATAATATTCCTTCTCCATCTGGAAAGTTCTCTTACTGCCACCCCAATTTTCACTTATTTATCTCCCACTCTGCTCTACTCTTCCTCCATTCAACTCTCTCAAAACCAAAATAATGTGTAGGTCAAATTATGTTACCCTCTGCTCAAAGACTGTTAATGGCCCCCCAATATGCATCAAATAAGGTCTAGACCACTGAATATGACATTCAAATACCACTATAATCTGGCTCCAATCACCTTTTTTTCAGGACTACTATACTTATTTCTAGACATACTTTGTACTGAAGGCAAACCTAATTATTCACCACTTTTCTGAACTCTTCCTGTCATTTCATGCCCCCATGTATTTTTTCATTCCTTCTCCATCTGGAAAGTTCCCTTACTGCCACCCCCATTTCCACTTATTTATGTCCCACTCAGCTCTACTCTTCCTCCATCCAGATCGTTCCAAAACAGAAATTATTTCTTCCTCCTTGAATACTAAAACTTAAAAAAAATCACAGTGGTTAATTGTGTACTTTGATTTTTTTGTATATCTGTCTTATCTCCCCGGTTAGATTGTAAGCTCCTTGAAGGCAAAGAATATATTTCATTCATTCATTTTTTTTTATTTTTAAGTGTTTTTTTTCTTAATGCTTAGCACAATTCCTTTTATATAGGAGGGCACAGAAAATACTTGTACTGCATTTTTGGAATTTTAACGAGCCAAGTGATTTGTGTCAGCACCATGGTCAGAGATAAAACTGTGACTAGCAGTGATTAGCTTGGTCAGCACTGAGAATGTGAAGAGTACCAGAGGAAGCCATCATTCACAGGCTATGCTGCAGAGAGGGTAGAACACAAAGATTTAGAAAGAAAGAAGATGGGTGGCTGCTTTCTGTAGTTAATTAGATTGGCCACAACCCTGAAGCTTCTCAGCAAATTCACTTGCAGAAATCATTCAGATCCAGGTTGGTCTCCAAGGCTCAGGCTATACTGTTTGGGATCCCTAGGAAACTTCCTTGATGGGAGCATGTCATTGTGTGTCTCTCTTAGTACATCAACCTGTAGAAAGATAGCCATGACTAACAATATTCCTCATTCTACATGTAGTCACCTTTCTACAATGTCTCCTCTTCTATTTCTTTCTCCTCTTTTGTCTCTTTCCTTCATTCATTACAAGATTCTTAATTCCTAAAATCTAGAATTTAAAGCTAGTATTACTGGAGTTATAGTTTAGCTATATTATTAATTACATAGAGTCTTTGTCAGTTAATCTGAGAATCAAAGACCCATTTACATGGGTTGAAACAAGCAACTTCCATTCATTCACTTCATTCAATAAATATTTACTAAGTACCAACGGTGTACAAAATATAATACTAAGCACTGAGGGACATATTAAGTTTAGACTTGTCAGGCATAGAGATTAAAATCTATTATGGGATAAGGCACAAAAACAATTATCTATAATACACAACTAAGGCAGTCTTGACAGTTTGGCTCCTTTCTCCATAGGAAAGAAGGAGAAGAGATGTAGCAGAATCAGCTAGACTGCTTTAAGGATCCATATTTGTAATCACTAAGCACCAAAGGAATTTTACGTATGTACATCCCCACATGGTTTATTTCCATTAGACACATATAAATGTACCTAACTGAAATTGGGGCATTTTACATGCATAGTGGTACTTTTGCCTACTTATGTCCTGAAAAAGTTTAAGTCATAATGTTCAGGGCCAGTCATGGGAGCACAGATCTAGAATTGAAAAAGACATCAGAAGTCATGAAATCAACCTTTTATGTTTTATGACTGAAGAAGGCTGCTTAGTTTTATCGTATAGACTGGAGGATCTTTGAAGTCAAATAATGTTTGTTTCACTCTGTGATCCCTAGATACAGGAGCATATGGAGGAATGTGATAAGGAGAAAGAGAGACTTAAAGAAGGTAAGTGATTTTCCCAAGGTTACATAGCTAGTAAGTACCTGGAGCATAACTTGAAAGCAATTCTTTCTGATTCTAAGTTCGGTGCTCTATTCACTAGAAGCAACTAAATGGCATAGTAGATAGATTGCTGGGCCTGAAATCAGGAAGACTGGAATTCACATACAGCTGCAGACATTTGCTAGTTGTGTGACCTTGGTCAAGTCACTTAACCTAGGCCTGCCTTAGTGTCTTCAACTATAAAACAGTAATAATAATAATGGCATCTA